CATGTATGAGCAGTACCCGCATAGATTTGAAACAATTTGAAATAATATTTATTGAAGGAATAAAGCTTACACACCTACATAAATGAATTACACTGAACATGTAAATTTAATCACAATAATCTTGGTTTTTTTGTGATTGATACTGGCTCCCATATTTATTTTCTATACAGAAAATTAAATTGAACTAATTATATTTTACTAGAATTAGTTTTAAATGTAAGGTCTATTCATTATACATCATGGTCGATTTCCATACTATCGGGATACTCTAAAGGCATTTTTTAAAAAGTATTAGGGCTTTTGAAAAATCCGATGCTAATTTAGCCAAGTAATATTTTTCAGTATTGATTATTCTTTACTGACATTTTAATTTGTAAATTGTATTAGTGACCAGTATAGAATCCTAAGATTATGTTCAACATTAATTAATCTTGAAAGAAATTTATATGCATTTCATTTATTTTTTTTTATGTTTTACATTTTTTACATAGATTGAAATTAGGGTCATTGTTTATTGAGCAGCATGTTCAATGATGTGTAACACTGATACGTGAACCCAAATAACATGCATATGCATGATTGATTTTCTGCCCAAAGGCGATTAAAACCACAGGTGTTTATACCATTTTATTCATACACATTATTGGCCAGGTAAACAAAAGCAAAACAAAAAAGAAATTAATCACAATTCCAGGTATAACAGGTTTTCATTTAACTGTTTATTTTTTTTTTTATTTACTCTTTTAATAACTTATTCATAAATTAAAAACTAATTCATCTGTAAATTCCCGTATAATTGTTCACATTGCTTATGTTACGGAAGAATGGTGGCATAATTTTATTTCATGTCATGAAATAAATTGTTAGATTTTTATTTGAGGGCTGTATGTAATACCCTTTTAGCGTGGTGCTTGTAAAACGTCTAGCCTTTTCAATTAAAATATTTTATATCTAAATGTAATGATTCTTTAAATAGTGCCATATGAAAATTTTGAGTATTTAATTTCATATTTAATCTACATGTAGATATTTTTTCTCATGAGTAGTTTTGTATACTTTAGAAATAAAAATCCCTCCTGACTTCCTTATATAACAACTTTATTTTTTTAAAATATTCTATATTACATGTGTGTAAATATACAGTTCCTAAAACTATAAATTAACTATAATAAATGTAATCTCAAGTTGTTAAAGGATTATTAGAAATCCTTGCGTATTAAACAGTTAAAACTTCTCTTTGCTGCAAGTAAACAAAACAATAGGGAGCCTGCAAATTCAGAATACACTAGGGGGTGAGCTATCATGTCATTCAGAACCTTTGTCACACATGAGTGAACAAAGCAGTCCCAGAAAGCAGTCCCAGGGGCAGCTGGGACTGCTGGGACTGCTTTTCATAGCAGTCCCAGAGCAGTCCCACAGCGGTCCCAGAGCAGTCCCACAGCAGTCCCAGAGCAGTCCCACAGCGGTACCAGAGCAGTCCCACAGCAGTCCCAGAGCAGTCCCACAGCGGTCCCAGAGCAGTCCCAAAGCAGTACCAGGGACTGCTTTCTAGGACTGCTTGGTGTCAGGTTGGGTCTGGTCGGTACTGTATATGAGTAAGTAAAACATAAGTACAAGATATAATCTGCTTTTTATTTTATTGTCAATTATGCAGTGTGAAATTATTAACTTTTTGTACGCCTTGCTTTGCTTTTTTGGTCAAACTGTTGTGAAGTAAATGATTAAGATTGATTAAATTGGGATATGGCATGACACAAGTTTGTCACGATATCATATTTTAACACCCAAATGGTTTGTCACTGATTTTGTTCCATTTCCCACTTAGATACCCAGGTGCAGATAATATTTTCATAAAAATTTTGCATTTTAACAACAATAATAAACTGAATTAATTTTTAAAGCTGTTTTATTATCATATACCTTATACACTTATTGAAATAACATAGTACAACCCACTTTGTACTGAATTAAGTTTGGTCGAAGCGAAGGACAGTCACGTAGTGAATTAATAGTGCCTGTACTGAATGAAGGTCCTGAAGAAATTTCAATATCGCAAGGGCATGCCAGAGTTAAAATTAAAAATCCAAGCTATTAATCGTTTCTGCATTTTTTTACTTTCTGGAAAGTGCGCTTGCATTCTATTTATTTATATGTAATTTGGGTCATGTCAAAAGATCCTTGTCCTCTACGAAGCATTTTATGTCCTCATTAAAAACCCTCTGGATTTAAAGAAAGCAGCAACACTTTTCAAGTTAAGGAAAATATCCTTTAACTATTTTCAAAAAATGGTCAAGATCTATTAAGTATAAGCCCTTGCAAAAAAAACAATTTAATTTGACACCTCGATGTTAAGCATGTCAAACCTGTACACAAAAACACGGTTTAATTATTCAAATACATTATCTCGATAATTAATGAGTAATTAATGATCGAGTAATTAATTAATGAGTATAATAAGCCCATCTTAAATCTGTTATAAATATTTGGTTTAAAATTGAAATACGTTTTTACTATTAAAAAAACTACTTTATCTGCCTCACACAGCAAATGAATTACGTCATCTTTATCAAAATGACGTCATGTCGACAAGTTCCGTGCGTTCAGTGATTGTTTATAACCTGCTATGTAGGATTTAACTATGAATTGTTTTCAATGCATTGATAACTGTTAATGGTGTTTATAATGCTAATATAATGTTAAGTTGCAAATTATTTAATATTCTGGTATTATGAGGAATAACTTTTGTGTGATATCACAATAAATATTTCCCGTATAAATAAGCCATGTCCCGGGCCCTTTTTTAACCTTAAAAATGCTGCGAAAGTGACAAGTTTTCAGAATATGATCAACAAAGGCTTATCTCAGAAAAACACCAGACCTTGTAGATTCAAACTACATTGTTCTTGTTACGTCATCTAGATATCTTCTTTGTAGCAAAATCTTGAAGTGGAGTGACAAGACCGTCAAAATCTTAAATTAATTGTACCACCCAATAGAGTAGCTGACAGACACACCGATTACTATATACCCTCCCGTTTTTAAGTAGGTGTATAAATATTATAAAATTTAATGAACTGAAATGAACTTTTAGTTGGTACGCGATAAAATCTATTGAGAATCCAATCAGGCTTCACAGAATTTGATCATGTGACCAACTTAAAGTTTATTTCCAAGAAAACCTTTTCAGGTTGTTAATTTCTTAAATGTATGTGTTATTCTTTAAGTAAGAATAAAGTAATATTTAGTACATACAGTAAAGAAAAATAAAAAATAGAACAGCATCACCGATCATCCTCCACCCGCCCGCCCGCATCCAAATAATATGACTAACCTTTGCATTTTTTTTTTACCAATGCTTTTTTAAAAACTAGGATTTTGGTATTCCGCTTTTTCATCTCTCTGTATTTAAAGGCATACCGAGTATTTTTATCATTGAATGTTTTTTTATGATTTGAAAATTTCCGGACAGGTAAAGTTATGTAAAACTATATAGATTTTTTTTTTATTAAAAAGAGGTCCATGCGTAACTTGGACACTGCTGTTCCTCACAATGGTTCCCCCTTGTTATACGTTTTGTAGCCCGGTCCAACTCCTTGGAGTTATTATTTGAACAACTTTTAAAAATCTATCCTACAACAGGATACTTCCACATTAGTTTTAGCTTTTTTGGTTCAGTGCCTTTTGGAAAGAATTTTATTTAAAATTTGTCCTATTATTTCAATGTTAAATTTTGAATCGACATTGAGACCCCAACCATCACCCGATTTAAAATTTAAAATCGATACGAAATCAAGAGATTTTCACAGATAAGTTACATTTCTCTAGTTCAGTAGCTTTTGATAAGATTTCAAAAGATTTTCCATTTTCTATCTTGTATATTTTAATTTAAAACTATTCTAAAACATACCCCCGCGATTTAAATAATTTATATTCTACAGTACTCCAGGAAGCTTCCATATAAGATTCATCTTTCTGGTCCAATGGTTCTTTAAAAGATTTTAAATGACGCTTTTTTTTGTTTTTTCGCAAACACTCTACCTAGGAAGTGTCCATGGCGCTTCATTTTATGTATTCTAATTTTCCTTTGCCTAAGGATGTTTTGTGTCAAATAATGGTTAATATTGGTCCAGTGGTTCTTGAAAAGAAGTTGAGAAATTTTCTTTATAGTGGAATTTCTATACCCCAACCCGGCGCAGCACTGTTAAGGCTAGAAAAATGGGGCGGGGCCTAATTTATACGGGTAAAGTTTACTGTGACGTCACACAAAAAATATGACTTTTATGCATTCCTCATATTACTCAAAAATGAAATATTTGCAACTTTAAACTGTATTAGCATAATAGACAACAATAAAACTTATCAATGCGTTAACAAAAGTCGCTAGTTAAATCCCATACAGCTGGTTTTAAACAAATCACTGATCTCGATATACTAGTCAATCATGACGTCATTTTTGTAAAAATGACGCATTTCATTTGCTGTGAGAGGCAGATTTGGGAATTTTTTAACAATGAAAAATGCGTTTTATTTTAAAACAGAATACCATTTACAGGTTTTTAACAGGCTAGTAATACCAATGTATATCCTTTGTTTAGTGCAATTATCCATTAACATTTAGATAATTCTCTCGTGTTCTTATGTTCAGGTTAGGTATATTTTACATCGGGGTGTCTCGTTAAATCGCTCTTTCGCAAGGGCATACACTAAATAAATCTTGACCATTTTTTGAATATAAATAGATGATGTGTTCCTTTACTTTAAAAGTGCTGCTGCTTTCTTTAAATCGAGAACATGACTTAAGTACACAAAATATTTGGTAAAAGTCAAACATATTTCGACATTGGCCTATAACATGAAATTTTAAGTATTAAAACGCGGATTCTATTTAAAGCAGCAGCACTTTCCAGAAAGTACAAAGTATACAGAAACAAGTAATAGCGAGAACTTTTAATTTCAACTAGGCTATGCCCTTGCGATATTGAAATTTGTTATTGACCTACATTCCGTGTACCTACAATGCATTCACCACATGACTGTCCATCGATGGGGCTAGACTCCATACAGTACAGAGTAGGTTGTACAATGCTATTTCCATAAGTATTTAAGTTCTTTGATAATAGAACAGCTAAATAAAAATAACTTCAGTTTTAAAAACAATGCTCTTTTTTGCACTTCCGTTTTCCGTTGATTTCTCGTAGTAAGCCTTTACAGTGCTGCTCCCCTTCTTTGTTTTAAAGCAAGTCGTCCATCCGTTTGTTGTATGTCTATGGAATATACTGATATATCTATTTATCTCTCTATATTTCAATATATATGCATAAAATATGATATATCCTATGATCATATTTACCAGCCTCTTTACCTTTGTATGTCTTTCCTTCTGGTTTGACACTAGTCTCTGCGTTACCATGGCTTCTTTTCTCTGAATTTGTATTGATGTCATCATGCTCTCTTTCCTCTGGTTCATTAATGATTTCAATAGTTTGTAAACCAGAAACTGTTTCTTCTAGTTTACTATTATCACCTGTTTTTGTGTCACCATGGGTTATATTCCAAGGCTTACTATTAACGCCAGACTCTGTAGCATCATGGATTTTCTCCTCTGGTTTACTATTAACGCCAGCATCTGTGACGTCATTGGTTTTTTCCTCTTGTTTACTTCTGATATCAGTTTCTATGGTCTCAAAGACTTTCTTTGGTACACTGGTCTTTGTGAAAACATGCTTCCCCTCCTCTAGCTTGCCTGTTTCTGGTATCCTATCTTCTTCTAAATGAAATGAAATCTTCTTTTAAAAGTTGAGAAACAGTTTCGCTTTCTAATTGATTATTTAATAATTATCTAATGATATACTTTTGTAAAACTTAATCTATTCTGGGTAAAGGTGTTCTGGTTTTTTACAGTGTCGATATCTAATTTAATCAATTTACAACACATACGAGGGGTGATCAAAAAGTTCGCCAACTAACTGAATAACTTCCATAAAAGAAACATTTTGTTTAAGTGTCGAAAATATTTAAAATTAGTCCTGTCCAATGTGCACGAATCACGTGATATAGGCGGTCACGTGACCCTCTCTGTTTCTGTAGGTCATCACAAAAGCTGAAAGATTTTTCTGAATTTTATATTTCTTTCCATGTAAATTAATTTTTATAACAATAACAGTTTATTTGTCAGAAATGGTCAATTCTCGGCAACAGAATGGGTGGATAATAATATCCTTTCCAAATATAGGTGTGGCGACCATCAAAACCCAAATCTTTTAAAGTGGTTAGAGAATGGTTTCCGCCTTTTTATCATATCTAATATGTGTAAAATTTAGAGTAAAAAATATATTAGGTATTTAATAATTATACTATTGTTAAAGTATTCAACTGTTTTTTTTAAGTGTAAATTGTAGGTCTATGTTAGCAAATTGCTTAATTAAAAAGAGACCCATGGGCCTTATAAGTCACCTAAGTATCATGGAACAACTTTCCGAATATTTAATTTGGTTTATCTTTTAAACCAGATGCATGAAATTCACAATTTTGAAAGAAGCACCATTGCTTATCATTATTATACACTTAGAATGCATACTCTAGCTACTAAATACCCAGCGTTAGATCAAAATAAGAAAAATGCATTTTCACTTTAAAACCAGTGGTGCACTCCACGGGAACTACATACCCTAGGGCCTTATTTTTCAAAATTTTAGAAATTTTTATCATAAATTTTATTTCTTCATAAATGGTTGATTAATACCACAGAGAAGATTTCAAAGCATTTAGTTATCTTCAGACTATGTTCTGTTACCCCCCCCCCTCCCGATACCCCTGACCCAGAAAACATGAAATAAATCATTTTGCTAGATGCACTTTTCTTCATTATAAATATACTGGAAGGAAAAAGAAACCAGGCTAAAGTGAATTAAATTTGTTTTCTTTAAATATGTTTTAGTTTTACTATCTAACTTTTAAAATCATCTTTCAAAAAGATGTAACAAAAATCCCATTAGATTTTGTCTGATAATTCATGAGTAATTGAAGCTCAAATGACGATACCCTCCAAAAGTGAAAATCGAAAACTCTAATTATCTTCAATGTCTCCCCCGTGCATCTGTCCGAGCCTTATTTTTCCTTTGCATGAAATTTCCTCAGAGTATTTATCTTTCAAACCCTGGCTATATTTAGCATGAGTAACAACGCCAAAAAATTAGTCAAACGGCGCGCGCATGCGCCAATGAGAGGACTACAAAAGTAAGTTGACTGGCTCAAAAAACCAAATTGCGGAATTGTTTTCTTTCAAATTTCGTATGAATGTAATGATTATAATCGTCTACTGTATAAATGGCTGTTTTGTGGTAGTAAGGTGCCGATTTAAGAGATGGCAGGACGAATAACCCGCTTGTAACATGGTTCTGTTTCGCGTTAACGTCATCGTCACGGTTGATTGAAAACCATTCCAGACCCTCTCTGACAACGGGTAACAAGTTTTATGGGGGAAAATTTACAAGAAACTGCTAAGTAAACATTTGTTGCCTTTTTCATTAATAGGCAATTCAAAAACAAGACCCCATTGAACTTCCGTAAACTGTGCCAAGATCGCAAGAAATTCATAATGTCTCTTAATATTGAAAAACGATGTGCATACCTCATTTGCATCAAATAAAGCAACAAGATTTGTTGACAAACTCGTCGTTATCAAATTGCACGTGTTTTGGGCTTTTTATCGTTTTCCCTACGTGACGCTATAAATTATATGGTCGAGTAATTCTGAATACTGATTTTGGTGCACAGTAACAAAATTTATCTTCTGACCTATTTTCGTAATTTTCGGTCATGTGTTCAATATTTTTTCGAACATTATGGTACCCTGCGTTTCTTTTTCCTTTCAGTATATATGTACTAAGATCATTCAGATAACACCTAGGAGCAATGGGAAAGATTTTCAAAGAATTCATGCATTTTCACTATATACTCAATAGAGCCCCACCCTTACACCAGAACCCTTGACCCAGGGGCCATGAAATTCATAATTTTGGTAGAGGCATCCTTCCTTATCATATATATGTATGGAAGGATATGGAAATAACGAACAGTATTCAATCTCAACGTCCATTAAACAAATATACAAAATAAGAGCAGAGCAGACACGAACCTCCCAAACATCAGAGGTGGGATCAGGTGCCATGGAGGAGTGAGCATCCCCTGCCGACCGGTCCCACCCGCCGTGTGCTCGTTGTCATAATCAGGAAATAACGGAAAAAATCCGTGGTCAATTCAGTGTATAAATAATGGACTAACAATTGGTATGAAAAACGTCAGTCAGCATTTCATTCAATGATAAATTGTATTTGCTGACAAGGTCATTGTATCGACCATAGAACTTTACGAATTGATGACTTTAAACGAGACTGTTGATATTCCTGTTTCATCAACTTGCATGTCAATAATTTACCTCGTTTAAGAAATTGTTCATACGTAGAGCATGCTCTTGCGTATCGAATCAACTGAGATACAAATACTCCGTATGCAGGTAATGAAGGTATATTGCTGCATAAGTAAGGGAAGTTGACGATAGAAAAGTTAAAGTCATCACGTTTATCATATAGCTTGGTTGTTAGATTACCATTAGTGTCTTTTTCAAGTAAAATATCCAAGTATGAAGCACAAGTGTCGGACTCTGTGGTGTCTTTTATCTCAAGCTCACCAGGATATATCGTGTCGACGTAGGAATGGAAATTATCATTATTAATTGACAATACGTCGTCGATATATCGAAATGTCGAGTTGAAGGCCACAGCAAATTCTGCTTCATATGAATATAAAAATAAGTCTGCTAATAACGGAGCGCAATTTGTACCCATGGGAATTCCAATAGATTGTTGGAATACCTGGTCTCCAGTTCATTGGTTTAATACCGAGGAGCAGAGAAAAAGATTTTTGAAGAAACAATGTATTTTCACTATATAATCAATAAAGCCTCACCCTAACATCGCAACCCCCAACCCAGGGACCCCAAAAATCACAATTTTGGAAGTAACACTCTTGCTCATCATAACTATGTACTTAATTAGCTTCTTTGATACCGAGGAGCAGAGAAAAAGATTTTTGAAGAATTGATGTTTTAACAATACAATCAATAGAGCCCCGGCTTTACACCAGAAGCCCTGGCATGAAATCCATGAAATTCACAATTATTGAAGAGGCATTCTTCGTCATCATAACTATGTTCTTAGTTGGTTTATTAAATACACGTACCCAGGAGCAGAGAAGAAGATCTTCAAAGAAATAACTTTTACTACTAGTATATGATCTATATAGCCCCATCCTAACACCAGAACCCCTGACCCAGAGGCCATGAATTTCACAATTTCCGAAGAGGCACTCTTGGTCATCATAACTATGTTCTTAGTTAGTTTATTTGATACCCAGGAGCAGAGAAGAAGAATTGCAAAGAAATATTGCACATTTACAATATGATCTATAAAGCCCCGCCCTAACACCAGAACCCCTGACCCAGAGGCCATGAATTTCACAATTTTGGTAGAAAACTCAATGCTGATTACAATTTTGTCAATAATTTGACTGCTTGATGTCCAGGAGAAAAAAAAAGATTTTAAAAGATTACATTAATTAATTTTAGTGGTTTTGGTCCCACCCCTCGGGCCTGAGGGGAGTAGGGACCATGAAATTCACAATTTTAGTTTCCATTCACCCACATATGCTGTATACCAAATTGGTTGAAATTGGTTCTGTAGTTTCAGAGAAGATGCGGTTTAATAGAAATAGAGATAGATCGCGAACTTTTTGATCACCCCTCGTATAAAGAATAATGTTGGAATTATTATTCTTTTTTTTTTGTACACTAACTATACACTACTGTATCATTTTAAATTCTATGCACAACTATGATATGTGATATTTCTCTTTACCTCCATCTCCAGTAGTATTAGTTGGTAGCAATGGAGCACTACATGAAAATTCATGAACGCTATCGGTGTATTTGTCATTTATGTCACATTCACAGCCACTTTCCCTTTTTCCTGCAAAATATTTTTGTCTTTACAATAATAATAATACAATCATCTTATCTAAATACTATATCGTTCTAGAAACATTTTACGCTATATTTATTTAGACATATGTGTACTGTAAACGTGCTTTTATTATAATGTTATTCTATGTAATATGGTCAGGAGAGTATCGACGTCCGCAGAGTTTGGTTTTTAAGTCTCCAATTTTAGTTTTAAAACACACAAAGAGAGTGGTCAAAAAATTATAATATTTTTTTTTTCAAATTTCAACAATATTTCAAAAATATATAACAACATTTTAAATTTTTAAAATAAGACACCTTTATTAATCATGCCGTCTACATTGCATTTTAGAGTATGACCTATAAATATCATTTTGTGAAAAGGTTGCTAAGAATGAAAGAGACACTTAACAGAATCAATATATTATTAACCCTTTCTTATTTGTTTTGACCCATTATGTTTTTGTTTGATAGAATAATTCCTGGCTCCTTAATTGTCCGAGAAATAAAACAAAACTATGTTGTATTCCTCTACTTATGGTTTACCAATTAAAAAAAGGAATTCATTATTTTTTAACAATAAACAAAAATAAAATTTTAATGAATCGAAAATTTCAAATTAATGCAAAAATAATTGTACCTGGCTCACTAAGGGGAAATTAACATTCACGATTTTTGAAACGATGTGGAGTGGGTAGTAGGTACATACTGGGGTTTCCTTGGAGAGACATCCATCTGATTTGATCAATGAATCAAATAACTTACCTCTATGAACTTGTTGAATATTGTACATCGATATCTTACTGACCTCCAAAAACAACGGTTATTTAAAAAAAATTGTTATTTATTCATCACATTATTTAATTCAAATAAAGCAATGTTACCTAGATTCAGTTCTTTTTTATTATTTTTCATCCTTTGTTTTCTTCTCCATAGAAGGACACCTAGAAACAGGATGAGGAGGAGGAGGACAATGACTCCGGCACACACTCCTCCTACTATTGCTCCAATATTGGCAGATTGGTTCTCCTGGATTATGGTTGTCGTAGTGTTAAAGTCTCCAAGATCTAAGATCTGTGTTCTGTTTGAAAAATATGATTGAATCACATAATGCTTAATTCATACATATATATATGTAAATGCACATTTCTTTTATACGAGGTTTATTTTACTTACGTTATTGAACAGGAAGGATCGGCAAGATAACATTTGTCTTGTGTGTTAATTCTTTGACATGCAGGATCTAAATCAATGAATCATGGAGATGGAATATTTGTATAGCTGTTGAGTGTTACATTGTAACCAAAATATAAATATACATGTAATACAGATGAAGTTATGTTTGATCTTACAGTGGTAATTCTCATTGCTCCTAAAAGCATCACCCGGACAGCCTTCTAAAAACCCAGAGCAGTCATGTGAAAACAGTTTTCCCTCAGTCGTCTCCAAACAGGATCCTAAAACAA